AATTGAAATATAAGTGATAACAATTGTATTCCAAATCAACACCTTGTGCATAAAGTGAAAAGATAGCCAAAACGCTCCCAACTCAATTATGAAATGTTTGATCACAACTCTTGATGTCCACAAAGAAGAGTTCCTTTAGTATTTATAGCTAAAGAAATCAATGATAAGTTACAATACAATAACTACAATTGTAACTCCCACAATAATTAAGTTAATTATGTGGTAATTACAATTGTAGCTCCAACAATAACTAAGCTAATTATAGGCATGTAATTGTTATGTAACTTCAATCTTCTTAACCAACACCACTAATTGTTTGTGGTACTATATAGTTATGGGTTCATTATTGTAATTACACTAAGACAAGACTTAAGCCCAAAATGAGTTATACTTAACTATATGGGCTTAATTAACTCAAACTAAAATAAAACAATCCAAAATACTTAAAATAACTCAACTAATCCAGCCCATACACAAGGTTTATTCATCCATTATCAATAAGACTCAAACAAGCCCAAATTATCCCAAATCACTTAAATCTAATTAAAGTTACGAATTTGGGCTGTTCAAAAAGCTCATATTTGAACATTCCACAATTGGTCAGCCTATCATCCACATGTTTTTAAGTAAAAACTTGGAGCAACTCTTTAAGCTTCTTTGCCTTTGATCTTATTACTGGTCCGCTGAAACTTTTCAGGTTTGGAACTGTATTTGTGTTTACATCATTTGAAATTTGCTCCAAGTCACATTCTAATGCTCTTTGAGTATCATGAGTGTTTTTAGCATTGTTTGCATCAATTTACCCTTAACAGAGTTCGCCTACAATAACAGCTACCAAGTAAGTATCGACATGACTCCATACGAGGTGTTATATGACTACCCATGCAGATCGCCAATCTGTTGGGAAGATATGGGTGATACAAAATTGTTCGGCTCAGATCTTATAGAGAAGATTATAGCCAAAATAGTTAAGATCAGGAAGAACATTCAGACAACTTAGAACAGACAGAAGAGTTGTGCGGATAGCCGGATAAGTAATTTAAAATTTGAGAAAAGAAATCAAGTGTTCCTTAAACTCATTCATTTTAAGAAAATCAGTAGGTTTGGCAAGAGGAAAAAACTAAATCCCTAATTTAGCTATTTGAAATCTTAGATAGAATTAGTATCGTCGCCGTCTACAGACTAACACTACCTCTAGAATTATCTAGAGTCCATAATATGTTTCATGTGTTCATGTTATGCAAGTACAACTCGGACCCCTATTACATCTTGGCCCTCGAACCCTTTTCACTCTAGGATGATCTGTCCTATGAAGAGGTATCAGTGGACATTGTAGACCGAAAAAACAGAGTACTCTGTAACCGAAAAAATTCTTTGTTAAGATTCTACGACAGACTCATACACAGAGAGAGTCCATATGGGAGATAGAATTAGACTTCAGAGCCCAGTATCCTCAACTGTTTGATTGAGTGAGAGAGAAACAAATTTGAGGGACCAATTTTTTTTAAAGGAAAAGACTTGTAATACCCAGGTTCGGAATTTGACTCGGAATTAATTTTAATATCAAAAAATGTATAAAAACCTACTTTTAAAATTAATAAATTTTAATTTAATGCGGAATTATAAAAAAAAATAGGTTGAGGATGAAATTGAAAATAATTTTGGGAAATGGGTGAAAATTTAGGTTCGGATGATGTTTTTGAAAGAAAATTTGGAAACTAGGGGTCAGAACACAATTAAAAAAAAAATTTACCGCGTAGGGTTTCCCAGTCAGTAGCTTCGATGAACCAGAGCGCGCTGTATAGCAAGGCTCACTAACTCGGTGCCATGCGGGAGGCCACGCTGGCGATCCGCGTACCTCGCGATTAGATGATCCAAAAGTATTCCCGCGCACGCGGACAGTCCAGATCCGTTCTCTCCTTAGGAGCGATTGGACAGTCGCGATTAAATGCGATGAACGGTCCATATTCATTTCCTCTTTAAACGTGATCGGACGATCAAGATCAAATTGTGATAAACGGTTCAAATTTATTTTCTCTTTAAACTAGATCAAACGGTCGAGACCCAATGTGATGAACGGTCTATATTAACGCGAGACAGGTATAAATATTTTGCATCATACTGAATCCAAACCCTAGTCGTCAGTCTCCTACCGGAGAAGAAGAGTCAGTCGTTGGAGAAGGGAGCCGACCGCCATCTGCCTCCGCACCGAAGCCACCTTTGATCGTTAAAAAGATAAAAATTCTCTTATCCGCTCGAAATTTAATTTAGAGCACCCCCATGGCCACATCGAAGCAAAAGAAACGGCGGGTGAGCCAGAAACCACGAGCAAAATTCTCAACCTTCTCTAATGAGCCCCTTCTTATTTTTCTTTTTGTGCGATTTTTTCACCATTGTGTTCACTGTTCTGTTTTTTACAGGTTGACCAAAGAAAAACACTTAGCCGCGAAGGTGAACCAGTAGAGCCACTACACTAAAAAATCTCACCACCGGTAGGTTTTTGTTTTTTGACTTTTTTTCGGCTAACTAAGGTCTCCTAACGTGTTTTCTCGTAAGGATGAGTATAAAACAGACTGAAACTGGCCAAAACTGACAAAAAACGGTCAAGTTGAGGCAAACTACCGTCGTGCCGGAATCCTAAAATTGGATAAAAAAAGATTTTTAACATCGATTTTAGATTTTTGGGGTATTTTTAGATATGTAAAATATGTTTTAATCTCCACAGAAAAATTTAAAAAATCTGAGTACCACTAGTAGGCGCAGTAGAAGGTTCGGTGTTTCGAACACCGATTCGGGTCAGAATCTCTCACCTTATTCTCTGTTATAGAATTGAAGCTTAATAATCGATAATATGGTATTTTGTCTAATTTAATAATTTTAAAGAATAATTATGGTTACTAATGGAGTCGAAACTGGTTAGTTCTTTACTTGTCCTGTTTAACTGATTGTTGAATTTATAGCTTTAAATACATGATGATATACTGGAATGGTTAAATGATTCATTTGTGCTTTCTTGATATATATATTGCTTGTCTTGCGTGATTTACGATTAATTTATGAAATTAAAAATTAATATGCAAATGAAAAATTATTTGGTCATGTGAATTAATGAATGGTAGCCTTACTGGATATCTTGAAAGATGGTAGATAGGCTGGGTACATAGGAAACCTTACCATAAATATTGCCTCATACCAGATGGGGTATCGAGGAATGATATTTTTAACGCTCATATTGGACGAGGTATGGGGACGGCTCGATTCACCCTCATATCAGACGAGGTATTGAGAGATGATATTTTTGGCACTCATATAAGATGAAGTATGGGGACTGCCGATTAGTTGATAATATTGAATATTGGTTCACACGTAATGAGACATCCCTATGGGCCGTTAGGGATATCAGTAGGCAAATAAAAAGGAAAAGTTGTTGTTCTTACTCACTTGAATATGATATTAGAATGTTATTTGAGTTATTATCTCTATAAGTCGATTTTAAAAATATTGCAACTGTAAATATATGCAATAAATGATTTTTCTTCATAGTAAATAAATTTACTTAAATCAAGAGCTTCGGTGGTTGTCTTTATGATTTTTACCAACCTTTAGTTTCTGTATCAGTGAGTAGTGTGATATTCTT